CAACTTCACTAATTATTAGAGAAATGCGAATCAAAACTACAATGAGGTATCACCTCACACCAGTCAGAACGGCCATCTTAAAAAAATCTACAAACGATAAATGCTGGAGAGGGTGCGGAGAAAAGGGAACCCTCTTGCACTGTTGGTAGGAATGTAAATTGATACAGCCACTATGGAGAACACTATGGAGGTTCCTTAAAGAAGTAAAACTAGAACTACCATATGACCCAGCAATCCCACTACTGGGCATATACCCTGAGAAAACCATAATTCAAAATGAGTCATGTACCACAATGTTCATTGCAGCTCTATTTACAATAGCCAGGCCATGGAAGCAGCCTAAGTGTCCATTGACAGAAGAATGGATAAAGAAGATGTGGCACATATATACAATGGAATATTACTCAGCCACAGAAAGAAAGGAAATTGAGTTATTTGTAGTGAGGTGGATGGACCTAGAGTGTGTCATACAGAGTGAAGTAAGTCAGAAAGAGAAAAATACCATATGCTTACACACATATATGCAATCTAAAAAAAAAAAAAACCAAAAGGGGCAGGACAGAAATAAAGACACAGGCGTATAGAATGGACTTGAGGACACAGGGAGTGGGAAGGGTAAGCCGGGACAAAGTGTGAGAGTAGCATTGACATATATACACCACGAAATATAAAATAGATGGCTAGTGGGAAGCAGCCGCAGAGCACAGGGAGATCAGCTCAGTGTTTTGTGACCACCTAGAGAGGTAGGATAGGGAGGGTGGGAGGGAGATGCAAGAGTGAGGGAATATGGGGATATATGTATACATGTAGCTGATTCACTTTGTTATACAGCATAAACTAACACAACATTTTAAAGCAATTATACTCCAACAAAGGTGTTTAAAAAAAAGAAAATAACAAATCGTGGTTCTAAGAGATTAAACTAGAACAGCAAAGTACTCATGACCGCTCTATGATCAAGTTCAGACTTGACCTTGAGTGAGCCTAACTCCAAATTCCATGCTCTTTTCTCTTCCTATCACCCCAATTCAAAGCAGTGTTTTTCACTAATAATGAAAATCTAAACAGGGTGTAAACAATCATAAAATATGCCTTTCTCAAAATAAAAATAGCATGGGGGAATTCATAGTGTGCCAGAGTGACAATGCAGAGTGACCCCACTCTGTCCAGTGCTCTTTTCCCAAGTGCAGGGCATTTTATTACCCATGATGGCACAGTCGCCGGCACTCTCAAATATCTGCCCACAAGCATGGACATGGTGATCCTGGGTGGAACAGCAGCCAGGTTTTCTGATACCATGTTGTACTAGCACAGCCTGCCTTCTAGTAATTCCTTTCTTGCCTGTTGTGGTTTCCTACACCAGAAACTAAGTAAGAGAGATTGGCTCTTCTGCCAGGGACCCAAAGGCCAGGGGAATAAGCCCTAAGGTGGTTCTCACAAAAGTCTGCACCTTCCAAGCGTGTGGAGGAAACGGAGATGAGAGCTGGTCACTATCTCCCAGTTCACTTGTTATAAAGAAAATGTGTCATGAGATTTGGCATGTGCCCTGAGAGATGTGGTCACCCAGGACTGCTTGGGCTTGCTGGGGAGTGAAATCAGAACTTGCTGCTACTCAATGATGACCTAAAGTTCTACCCAGCAAAAAAACCAAACAATTAGCAAGCCTGGCCAGAAAGACAGTCATTCAGTCCTTGGGTGGACTGAAGTCAGGCTTTGGGTTCTGTGCCTCTTCCTTCTCCAGCTCTGGCAAGGATGACCGAGGAGACTGCTGTGCTGAGGGTCCCCTTGAGAATGCCTGGCCACCAGCCTGACATCCGAAGCACAACTCTGGGGATGGTTCTATAAAACATATCATTTTGTTTGCTACAAGAACATCCTGGAAGAAACTGCTTGGTACTTTACGTGTCCTCTGCTTGACAGTCCAACAGGAAATGTCTGTCGCTTTCTTTGGGCTTACCCTGAACAGCTAGTGACTTTTATCATTAGATCCTGTAAACAGATTACACACGGGTGGTAGAAAGTTCTTCAGAACTGAAATTGTAGATCACTTCCAGGCAAGCACCTAATAAGGCTTTTTACAAAAGACATTTTGGGAGCAAATGGCATCAATGGCTTATGTTTCCTTGGCTTTTTGGAATCACCTATTTAAAGAATTCCATCCATCTGAATTGTGTGTGTTTTTGAATATTACCTTAAATGATTTCTGGAGCATGGTGGGGATTTTACATAAATGAATCCCTCCCATGTACCATAATCGCTATAGAGTTACTTTTTAGAAGTTGCTAACAGTACTTTTTCAGACATTTCTCAACATTTGTCTCAGGTTAAAACATTTGTCTCAGGTTAAAACAACATTTGTCTCACGTGAACCCTAGTTTGTTCTTCATGTTCATGTTCCATCTTTTTAGGTAGGTCCAAAGTCTGAATAAAAATTTTTAAATATAATTTTAGTTGAAGACTGTATGGAATTTTTATATTTTTTCCAATGTTTGGTATCATAAGCCATATGACAATAGAAACCTTTGTGCATAAAGCTTAGTCCTTATTCCTAATTATTTCCTTAAGATGGACATTACGTAGAAATTACTGGGTCAAAGTATATCACTGCTTTTATAAAGCTTGGCAGGAGTGACCCAAGTGCTAAACAGAAAGGCTGTACCTCTGGATGCTCAGTGACAGGGTGGGACCTGGACGGGGCTGTGTGTGTGATCCGTCCTATCACCAGTTAACTCCTGTTGCCATTTTGCTGTCTTTGCTAAATCAGTAGATTAAAATGCTATCAAATTACAGCTATAGCTCCATCATATTAAAATTCCTAACACTTTCAAATGGAACTATTTCCACTTTCCAAATGTTTTATAAGACTGAAAAAGAAAATTGGTCATCAACTTTGCAACTCGTTAGCAGCAGGCTTCCTCTACATAAACAAGGACAAATTACTGCTGACAAGTTGCTCTGGGTCTCACCATCTTCCGCATGACACTTTAACAAAGGTAAGACAAAGGCCATTATATGTCTAATAATGTTGCATCCCTCCAATTTTCAAATGTGGTGGATTAAACAAGGAAATTGCTCATACCTGAACTCAAATTCCTGCTGCCCCCCTCTCTAGCTGCGTGACCTTGGGCTGATTACCAAACAACTCTAAGCCTCAAGCTGTTTTTTGGTTAATGGAAATGGTGTCCCCCAGCTGGCTGGGCTGTCTGAGGACTGAAGGGCTGTCTGTGTTTGTGAAGTTGCCTGGTACACAGACACCCCTCTGCTGCCTCTTCCCCTTCTAGACCAGGGGTTTATCTCACCATCCTGTCCAAGCAATTGTGCATGGGATGAAGCATCCCATTGTTTTAGGCGATGGACCTAACTGATCTGTGCAGGATAGGAACCAGGTGTGAATCAAGGGCAATAATCCATGGGGATCAGGGATATTTTCATTCTATGAATGGAACGCAGAACGGTAGGCCCACACAGTGTCCCCACTGTGGCGACCCCTGGCATCCTCCAGGATGTGGAACTCATCTCCATACCTGCTCTCTGCTCACAGGGCTGAACAAAGTGCTCTTGATTTCATTGCCCAGGCTTCCTTTTCCATAGAATGATGGCAAAGGACTAACTGTCGACCCTTAAGATATTTCTCAGCTTTTCACATACTCTCTGCATGGAGAAGGCACTGTCTCAGACACTGATGTGATGTTCACAACTCTTGTCTCCCTCTATGAGTGAAACACCTCCCAGATCAATGTAGGGAAAAGGGAAGAGTGAGGACTGGAACAAAATGCCAAGGTGTGTGCACAGATCACTGATCAGAATCCTTATTGGGTTGTTATAAATCAAGACCTGTTGTCAAATAGGTTTGGGATACAATGTGCCAAAGCATTCCTCAAAATTATGTTAGGACATGCAGCCTCTGAAGATGACTGTATCAATATTATTTTCCACTATGATTATTCTTTTAAATATAAAGTTTATTGTGAAGAATTGTAACTAAGATAGAGAAATTCCAATAACAGCTACAAAAATGCATGTGCTTTTTTTTTTTTAACTTGACTTTAGTGCCTTTTTTCTTTCCTTTTTGTTAATTTAAAAAATATTTTCTAAAGTCTACTTAGGCCCACCATGGAACCTGAAAAGCTATAAAGGAGTCTCTCTGACTGGTCAATTTATTGATTTACTCAGATGCAATGAATAATTCAGAATTTTTAAAAAAATGACTAATGATTATTTTAAATGAGAAATACTAAATTTTAACCTCAGCATTTGAAATGTTATCAAAGCATACAAGAAACAGACTTTTAAAATGTCAAAAGCGTTGCACAATTGCAACAAAAAAGCGTTCTCCTTGGATTTTTAAAATAAAATTTCTTTTAAAATAAAATTTCCCTAACTTACATTATCTGGGTCACTCTTCCAAAGATGCCCTTGATCTGTACTTCCCTGGTGGTGCAGTGGTTAAGAATCCGCCTGCCAATGCAGGGGACAGGGGTTTGATTCCTGGTCCAGGAAGATCCCACATGCTGCAGGGCAACTAAGCTGGTGGGCCAGAACTACTGAGCCCTCTCTCTAGAGCCCGTGAGCTGCAACTGCTGAGCCTGCACGCTTCATCTACTGATCCTGCATGCTACAACTACTGAAGCCCAAGCGCCTAGACCCCGGGCTCTGCAACAAGAGAGGCCACAACAACGAGAAGCTTGTGCACCACAATGAACAGTAGCCCCACCCATGGCAACTAGAGAAAGCCCACATGCAGCAACAAAGACCCAGCGCAGCCAGAAAAAAAAAACAACAAAGATGCCCTTGATCTTCAATCAAAAAACAAATATAGATAAATACTATGAACCCATAGCAGCCCAAAGAAATAAGCTACATGGACATCAGTATAGGTAGGTCAAAAGGAAAAAATACCCATCACACACACGACAGAATCCTCAAACCAGCCCATCTCCTCTCGGCCCCACCCCCCCCACCCCTGCCCGGCAGCCCAGGGCACGACTCAGCATGCTCACCGCATGGTGTAGAGCAGAGTGCCATCATCCTCCAGCCGCAGCAGCTTGTTGGGCGTGGTCATGTTGTGGGCAATGGACTTCTTCCCATTGTGGAAGAAGGTGTCTGGAGTCCAGATTTTGCTGGCAAGGAGGTTGTTGAGAGGCAGGCGCTGCATGGGCCCTTTAAACCGAAGCCTTTCGTCTTTCCAGCTTTGTCGGAAAAACACATCTATGGTGTATTCCTAGTGCAAAGGGAGGCAACCAGGTGACAACTCAAGGAGAGGAGGCCCTGGGCCAGTGCCTTCAGGGTTTAGAGTGGTCTGGGTGGGGCCGCGCCTCGCACCTACCATTTCCGTGTCAGACACCGGGCCGAAGCTGGTGACGTAGATGTCCGTTCTCACCTGAGTGATACGCTCTGAAACACAGACACAGGTTCCTCACCAGGGCCCCAGCTCACAATTCACAGGGACATAACTCAGGGTGGAGTAAAACGGTGTCAAGGAGCCTATGTGGACTCGTCTTGCCAAAAAGGCAGAGAATGTCGAATCATAAGTAAATGTCCCTGCTAAAAATGCAAATAATGGAGGACTAAACATATTCTTCTGGGAATGTATTTGCTAGCAGGTCCCTCCTTACCTAATGGAGCAGGTTCAAATGTACCACATCTAAATCGGTTAGAGCCAAGGGCACCACACATGCCTGAAACGGCACATGATTCTCAGCACAAAATTAAGCCAGTTGTACCCTGAAAGCGTATTTTACTATCCATTTAGTTTTATCAACTTTATAGAGTCAAAGTAAAAACTGTGATTATGGCTCTAGTGAAAAATTAAACCTGTAACATGCCATGGTGTGATGAGCACTTGCACTGAATAGTGGATTTCTGAAAAGGACTCGCATAGATGGGAGGGTATGACTTTGATTTTAAAGTATTTCCTAACATAGGGTAACCTCCGCTTCAGTAACACCTAAGAAGTGGTTCCTCCTTAAGTGGACCAGATGGCCTTACCATTATCTGGGAAGAAAAGGGAGTTTGCAGGGAGACCACTTCCCTTGGCTTCTTGCATCTGGAAAATGATAATATGCAGAAGCCTTAGCAACACCACCAATTCAAACTGCTAGCAGGGAAGCTCTTTGAGGAATTGTTTGAACCACAGGAAACATGAGCTTGGTTTAAGCAAAAATTTCCCTTGGGCCTCGAGGGCCTCAGCCAAGGAGCATACACCAACCTCCGAGCCCAGGCCTCAGTCTGTTGTCGTAGCCATCCAGGAGCCCATCCAAGATCCTGGTGAATATTGTGATGTTGTCATTGGTTTCATCTTTTACAGAACTGGTTGGCATTTGTGAAAAGCTTTTTAATGGAGAAACAAAAGAAAGAGTTCAAACTTGTATTAATTATTTCTTACAAATTCTTCTCAAAGTATAGAAACCAGGGAATAATATGGTGACTTGTCTTGACGGGAGGGCATCTGAGAATGATCTCTTGTACTACCCAGGTTATTGTTTTGCATACATAAGCCTTATTCTTGAATATCTTGAATAACCCTAATTCTTCAATAGCCAGCCAGAGAATGCTGGCTCTGGGCTGGTCTCCCATCAACCTTACATGATGCTCTAAATCCATCCCTCCCAGATTCTGAAGAGCTGTTTGTGTCAATAGTGTAGCCATTTTAAAGACATATTAGTCACTGCACATGGACTAGCAGAGCCTAACCCACTCACAGGGTATTTCAGAAGTTTGGTTTAAACACAGAAAAACTGAGTCTTCATTTTGTTAGTGAGTCAACTGCAATGGGCTATGGGGTGTCGGGGGGACATTAAAAACTTTATCCAATTTGAAAGTAAGATTGGTGTGCCCAAATTTCCCTGTATCCTTAATTGGGAGCATTTGTGCTATGAGCATTAAGCCAGGACTGGAGCATATGGTGAAGGGACGACAGAGTCTGTGGGCTTCTGTACCATCAGCACTGCCAGCTGCCAGCACACTTGGCTCCAGCCAAAGCACAGGATGCAGGGAGCAGGAATTGTGAAGCCCAGGCTGAAAACCCTGGCTTTACGTGATGTCGCCTCAGAGCAGAGCCTCAGGGAGCAGTGTTCTGTGTGACCCAACATGTCAACTTACGATAAAACCCTGAGAAGACGGGCAGAACCTTCTAGGAGGTTCACAGGAAGAACAGTCTAGTGATGTTATCCAGGCCTCAAAAGTGTATGTTGATGGAGCAGCTGGAAATGAGAAATGGCCCTGAGCATATTTGGGCAAACCGAGTAAGTTATCTGGAGGGAAAGAAAGTCACAAGTCTAGAAGATGGTAACACACCTGAACATCATGGGTTCCACCTCAGGCATCCATCGCTGCTTTTTCAGAAGTGCAAATAGCAAGATATGTCTTATTACCAAGAACCTGACCTGCACATCTGGCTTGGCTTCAAGAGGAACTCAACCCAGCTGAGAGCCAGCTGTGGTCCCGAGAAGTCAGCACCCTTGGTACTTGGGAGAAGAACAGAGGGCTCCTGGGACCTCCCTGTAGTGCCTGATTGTGGGGCCCCACTGTGCTCATGTGCTTTCTCTTCCGTGAAGTGGCTGGAATGGACGCTGAGCTCTGCCATCAGCAGGTGGATCTGAGGGCAGCACTGATGTGTACCTGCCCCACCCACTTCTCAAAAATTGGTCATTTTCACTGACTGCATCTAAACAGGTCAACTCTCTAATGGCCTAAAGTGACTCCCTTTTGAATGAGACACTATAAAGTTCTTTGGATCTAATTTTCCCATCACCATTAAAATGCATATTGTTGAAGCTCTAACAACCTAAAATTCAGTCCTGTTAGTATGGAGCCCACAGACACATACTTTTTTTACTCTGTGACTTAGTATTTAAAAATATTGAATTCCCTTTTCTCTGACATCTATTGTAGTTTCACACTTTAGAAAGACAAAGCACTCAGCCTTGAAGACCTAATGTCAGGACGAAGGGGTTTAACACTGTCCTTCAAGTTTATGAAAGAAAGTCTGTGCACACGCCCAGTTGAACAACTATTGCTCAAACTAAATCTGACCTCAATGTCCACTTCGCATGGTGCTCATAACTCTCACCAGTTTGGTTATTCAATTCTGGGCTTGGTCCAAGTGTCCAATTTTTGGAAGGTCCCCATTGGCTCTTTAACTTAGAAGAGAGATGAAAGTCTGCACACTAGTAGAAAAGGCTTATCACTTGTATGTGGAATCTAAAAAAGCCAACTCATAGAAACAGTAGAATGGTGGTAACCAGGGGCTGGGGGTGATGGAATTGGGGAGGTGTTATTTAAGGTTACAAACCTGAAACTAGAAGGTAAATAAGTTCTGGGGATCTAATGCACAGCATAGTAGTTATACTTAACAATACTGTGTTATAAACTTCAAAGTTACTAAGAGGCTAGATCTTAAGTGTTTCCACTTAAGGAAATGATAATTATGTGACATGATAGAGGTGTCAGCTAATGCTAAGGTGGTGATCATATTACAATATATAAATGTATCAAATCAACACACCCTAAACGTACACAATGTTATATATCAATTATATCTCAATAAAAAATGTAAAATAAAGTCACAATGAGAAAAAATAAAAGAAAAAGCATATTTTAATGTTTCAAGAACATTTTTAAAAACTATTACATCTGTTGTGAAAATGTTCTTAAATTATATTTGTTTTGAATAGCCTTGACTGCCCAGAGATAGAGACCATGGAGATGCCCACAGACCATGCAGTCCCAGTGCCTGTCTCCAGGAGAACTGCCTCCCGGACACTCTGGTACACTGCTCCACCACTGACTCAGACAAACACCATTCCACATGGCTCTGAATCCTGCTTCACAAATACCCAAATCATTGCCAAAAGCAATGGGATAGCATGCAATGTCTAAGACTTCCAAAGCTCTTCTTCCACTTTTTGGCCAAAGAGTTCAAATATATCTACACCCATTTACACATAATTACACTTTTCTTGCAGGAATTTCAATATCTGCCATCTTTTGCTGTAACTGCTTCTTCTATTTATCTGTGGACTTTTTTTTTTTTTTTTTTAGAGAGGCCGTGGCTGGGGATTTGCAGTGATTTCTTCTCTATTTTTACTGAAGGTAGGCCCTAGGAGGTACGAAACGGTTTCTAAAAAAGTCCTAAAAATGCCTGTCGGGGCAGGAGTAGAGGTTCCTCTCATGAACAACTGGGAAGTCCTCCTCAGTCCATAGATCCTCCTCAAAAACCATTCATCTGCAGCTCATTGTTACAAAATGCACTGTCTTCACTGCTACGGAGAGGAAGGCCCTTCCCTTACCACTGAAAGCAAATGACGTGCCAGGATACAGGAGACTCTCAGAGAGGTCTGGTGAACTTGCTCATGCATATCAAGCTGTACAATCTTTACAGACTGCTTCTAATATACAGAGTGACTTCAGCTTGCTTTGTTCCATTTGAGCTAGGAAAACAAAATAACACACACAGAGTGGGCTGTGCCTTCGGTGAGCAATTCCACACAGTGAGCAAATCCACGAGTCCTCCAGGTGGAAACACAAGATGCCCTCAGCCCTCTAAGGTACAGAAAGCAGGCTCCAGCTTGCATCTTCACTGTTCTGAGTAAAACCAAAGAGCTCTGCCGGCCCTCAGGTAAGCTGTGAGTACACAGCTGCTTCCAGAATAAGCTGAAGGCTCTGATCTCAGGGGGAGCAGATTTTGTGAGCTGAGACTAGATTCGTTATTTCTGAGAATGACCTTAGATAAAGTAGAAATGCTTGAAAAATTTGGTGATTTCCCCTTCAGTATCAGGATTAATGAACTAGGTTCTCTGAAAATACGAACTATTTCCTTATAGTTACTGCCAGTTTTCTACAAACACATTTAGTTTATGAAACAGTTGCAATATTTTCAGATTGATGTTCCAGAAAAGGGATCATAAAGGAAATGTAGACCTAACCACACATGTTAAAACATCCTCATTTTTTATATCTTCCTACTCAGGTACAGGTCTATACAAAAGGCACAAGGACTCGATCCCTAAGCTTGAACTCTGAGCCCCATATTCCAGACTGAAGAAGGAAGGTGGTGGTTGTGACATGGGCAGTGATACGGGTGGAACAAGATGCTCAGGGGGTGGAAGGGCTTCCTAAAATGCTATGAGTGGCCCCTGCCAGGCTTGAGGTCCTGGGTCTTTCAGAGATTTCTGATGAGGTGGAGTGGGGAATAGATAGCCATGAAACGTGGTCCACTAATGGGTTTATTTCACCAGCAGAGTTTTCAGAACAATAAATGTAAATGACTTTAGAAAGGGTCAACTCTAGCAATTGTACAAATTTCCCACCTGTCCCCGTGGTCTTACATCTGGTCTCTTCAAGGCGTTTGATTCTGTGACTTCTGCATTAGCCTCTTCCGGGTTTCTAGGGGTTTCTAGGCCCTAGAGACTCGGCTTTAATTCACCCAGGAGGAATAAGCACTCGTATTTTTATAATGTCCCCAAGTGATCTTCATGTGCAGCCATGGGGGAGAGGTACTGTTCTAAGCCTGTCTAGATTGGAAACAGAAAGGTGAGCCAACTGCCAGAGTGACTCCAAATGACCCCAGAGAGTGTCTCTTCTCTGTCACGTCTTCAGAGAGGCTGTCGGGTTGGGCCCAGTGCTTACCCCAGCAGCTCAGCTCAACAAAGGTATTGTGGACATCAGCCATGTGCTTGGTATTGTGGTGAGAACTGGTGGTGTCAATGAGAAAGGTGGCATCCCCAACCTAGGGAACATGACTGCATCTAAAAGAATAGGCCATGTTCCCAGAGAATTTCTGTAGAACATGGTTGGTGCAGGAATCTTTGCAATATGCAGGGCATTCTATGTACCCAAAGGGGAGGGATCAAGCTTTGTATGGGGTCAGAGGAGAGGAAAGCAGACCTAAGCTTTTAAGCATGAAGATCAGGTCTCAAGCTAAAGGAAGGGGTTGTGAGCAGTGGCACTAAAAATTGGGAGATTAGTATTGACATATACACATTATTATATATAAAACAGATAACTAATAAGGACCTACTCTATAGAACAGGGAACTCTACTCAATACTCTGTAACGAACTATATGGGAAAAGAATCTAAAAGAGTGGATATATGTATATTTATAACTGATTCACTTTGTTGTACAGCAGAAACTAACACAACATTGTAAATCAACTATACTCCAATAAAAATTTTAAAAAAGAAAAGAAATACTGATATTTGCAGAGGGTACGTTGAACTCTGGTGAGAAGAGCCACGTGTGTGGCTCAAATCATGGCGTATTCATGTGAAAAGCTCCACCTCTAGGATCTAGCCTGAAGGTGGTGGGAAACTCAGAGCATCTTAACA